GAGCATTTGTAAAGAACAAAAAATAGCCTGGCTAAATCTTTCACTTGGGATTTGTGGTTTCCATTATGTTGTTTTTATCTTTAGGTCCAGTTTGTTTTGCAAATTCAACACCATGAGAAAAAATCAGCCTTAATTACCTTGCATTAAAGCAGGAAACAAGCAGAACTGTAGTTTGCAAAGGATGACTTTGGGCACCTGAAAGGCTCTTCCCTCAACAGACATCCAGAGTCTTTCTGATACACTTAGGCTGAGAAACTACCCTGGAAAAAGGTCCAATACAAACATCGGCAAGGTTTTCTCAAGCTTACCTGTCACATAGGAGAACAAGGGAGGGAAAACTTCTGGGACTGTCAACGCAGGAGCCGCTGACTGGGACATATGGAAGAACACCTGCCAGAGCAACATGGACGGCACTGAGCAAACAGGACAAGCCCCCGGGCTGTAAGGGTCTTGGCTGCCGCAGGGACCAAAGGATACTTGCCAGGAGGAAACAGGGGGACCCAGCTCCTTTGGGGACCGGGGGCACTGCCAAGAGGGGAAGCTGGCTCCCTTTGCATCAAGGAACACTGCCAGGAGGGGCTGGGTAATGGTGCACCCCAAGCTCTGGGCTTCCCTCCACAGCCAAACAGGCATGGCTGCTCTCAGAGCAGAGGCTGTGCCCCAAGACTCCCTCCCACCACCCTTCTGTCACCCTTTTCCCTGTCACAACAGGGAAAAGGCTCTTACCTGCATGCTGCCATGCTGCCCGGCCTGAGGGACTGCTCGCAGCACCTTCCGGAACCTTCCTGGCCAGCTGCAGCCCCTGAGGCAGCGGCAGGGCCTGCCCCCACCCAGCTGGGCCCCTGGCTCCACAGCCCCGCTGCCTCTCCCCAACGCTGCCTGAAAGAACGTTCCCGTAAGATCTTCAGGGGCCTAACCCAAAGCACAGGAGCTTCTACAAAGAACAGAAACTTCACAACAAGCAGCATAACAGCTACCTTTTTTCACGTTCAAAGAACGGAAAATCAAATTCCTGAACAAAACATCAGGTTTCAGCTTTTCTCCGTGTACCTAAATGAATGTAAGTTGTAAAAAAGCTATCCATGGCCCAGGAAGGATTGAAACCATCCTGCCTGCATTCCTTTTTACAGCTGGCATGACGTTAGAGTGAAGCCTGGTAATGTGCATATAACAAAGCCACGCAACAAATGGCTTTCCAGCCTCACCCTTGCAATGGCGAGGCGTCATTAACGCAAGACCACTATTGCAATAGGAACTATACTGTTCAATTTATGCAGTAATAAAAATCCTCTTACGTCTTGTCCCTGTAAGGTTTTGTCATTTTAAGTCTGGAAACTTAGAACCTGTAGCAAGAAAGGGAGGGCAGGCTGAGCCCATCCAAGTTCTATATTAAGTACAAGGAATTAAAAAAAACAAATGTCAAAATAAATACCATAGCACATGTTCAAGCCAGCCTCAGAAAAAGCACTTTCAGAAGCTATTTCCAGTAGACAAGAACTGACCTTCCCCTTACAAAATGCCACAGGGTATAAATAGCGCAGCCTCTTCAAACCTGCAGCTCCAAACTCCCATGCAATTTGTCATGAATACTTCTCAGTCTGCTTCAAGAACGCTCAAACAACAGGGCACTCCTTTTCTCACCACACTCAGAGCACTAATTAGCTTGAACTGGCATCAAAATACCTCACGATTTCTGAAATATCATAGATGAAAACCAAAGCAGAACCAGATCAAGAATGCAGGCCTCCCATCTCCCTTTTGACCAAACATTTATTCTGTAAAGATATTTGCCACTTCTCTCTGTGGCATCACATTTTCCTAAGTTTTGGAGGCGCCAATTATCGAGAACGGCAAATATGGAACAGTCAAACAGCTAGCTCACACAAATACATTATAATCCCTGATAGAGACAGGGAGCCATTACAAATGCACACAAACATGTAACTTTATGCACTTTGAAAGCAAATTTTAGTTTTTCAGCAGGCAGCGAATAGGCAATGAGTTATTGTGCATCTTTCCCTGCAATTATCATCCCTTTGGAATGCATCTCTTGCCAGCTCTGTATCAGTTGTGTGCAAGAATACTCCACTGGCACAAAGTAGCATCTCTCAGAAAATAAGATGCATGAAAAAACCTCGGCATTGGGGTATATATAGTGTACTATATCTAATTCCTTTTAACTACCCGTTTGTGCTCAGGCAGATCAGTGGCTACGATACATTACCATTGTACACAGAAAGCCCCTGAAGTCACGACAGTCAAAACATCCTTACACATTCATTCTCGTCAATTTGACTGCTTAACTTATAGAAAAATACGCCAAAGTTATGCAGTATGGCCCTAAAGCATAAATGTGCCTCAGGGAGGCAGAATACACTCTGGAACTGGACATGATGTTGGTGTTTTGTGTAGTGTGTATTAAAAACGAAATGACCTCAAAGAAGGGAAAAAATAAAGCCACGAAAGACAAGACAGCTTTGAAACAGACAAGATGGCCACGCCGGCATCCCGTATCGTCCCAGATGAAAAGAACTTTTCCCACTAACAACAATCAAAAGACACATTTCGCTTGCAGGCAAAACCTGGCTGCTGTAGTGTAGCTTGGTTTTATTTATGTCCACAAATATTTCAAAAAAATTACAAAATACTCAAATGGAGAGAACACAGAAGTCACGATTTCTGGGTTTCTACTCTGTTTACACTGTGTTATCCCATGGCAAACTACTCATATATACATTAAGCTTCAAGATATATATAAATGTAGCAGTCAGAATGTACACTCTGCTTTAACGGTGCAGTGAAACAAGCTCAACCATGACGACATAGAACAAGAGAGACGTTTCAAAAACATTAAAGCAAAATTAAAAAATAAACTTTCAAAACAGGAAAAATAAGAGAGATTTCTTAAAGAAAATCAAAAGGTCTGGGTTGTTTTAACAGGGCATTGAACACCAAGATGGCTTCAAAAACCACTGCATGTAAAATTGTAGTTAATCATTGGTCTAAAATGGAAGAATTTCAGTGCTTATTTGCTGAATGCTGTGAACAGAAAAAGTTCCACAAATTATCAGAATACTTTTCTAATTAAAAAAAGAAAAAAGAAAAGAGATCAATGAATATCTTTTGAACAGACTGAAAACTTCAGCTGAAAAAAAAAAATTCAGAGAGAGGACCATTGGAGGCAATTAGCTTTTTTTTTTTTTCCCCTTAGGAAGAACTACAGCTAAAAATAACAGCAAAAAAGAAGGATCAGAAGAAATGGCTGAACTCCCCCAAACTCCCAAATTCCACATGGTAAAAACAAGGAGGGGAGGTTTAACTGAAACGTGCCTAATTAGACCTTTAAAGTAAACTGAGGCATTCTCTCTGCTGAGCAGACCGATCGTACTAGCAACTCCACTGTTAGCAAAAGTAAAAAACGCTACTCAGAAGCAAACCCTTCCACCTGATCACTGCAGGCAGCGACCGAAGGCATTGACTGAAGATGACTTTACCACCCTTGACTCTAGGTTGACCTCATGGTTTCCAAATCTCAGAAACACTAGCTGTTCCTCCTAATACCTTCACAGTTCAAATACAGCAGATGGAACTGATTAAACGCTATTGCAGTTCTTTAGCACTGAGAAATCTAGAATAGAGGACAGAAAAAAAGGAAGATCAACATCAGTTGAAATAATCCTCCTCTCTCTCCTGTACACTCTTGCCTAGAATAGCCTGATGCGTAGTTTAAATCGGTAAATTGATGTTACTAACTGTCCGACAGTAATCTTTGGGCACTGACACTGGTTTGAGATCCATGAGGTGGATAAAGCACTGTGCATGCCATGCCTTCCATCATCAGAACATATGATTAACTACAAGTTTATCAAGCATGGCTCAGTACAGTCCTATGACACAACCATCACACTGAACAGCCTACAACAGCAGAGAGAGCACTCATGAGTTAAGAGAGAGTGAGTGGGGGGGGAAGTTATGCACCAGCAGAAAAAACGGCCAGATTCAGATGTCCATTGGTTGCATCACCTTCTGCTCTGGCAAAGAAAACCCATGGCAAAACAGTGGGAAGAAAAAAAATAAAAATCTGCCTAGACAGTAAGCAGAGCTGTCTCCAAAATAATGCTCACTGGCCGCCTGTGTATTCCTCTCCTTTTACCATCCACATGGGAACTAGCCAACAGGAGTTATTCTGCATGGACCTGTTGTGTTGGGAGTCAGTAAATGTTACTGTCCATATGTCCGGTTAATCCCAAAGCAGTAAGTTCCTGAGATACAGAACACTGGTGGCAATTAAAAAGTTTTTGCTTACAAAACCAAAACTAAAACAGTCTAAGAGAAATACAGACTGGTCTTTGCAAAACAACTTTAAGAACACTAACCGAGTTGCCTATCCGCTTTTCTTAAGAACGTATCAAACGTAAGAGGCCAGAAAGAGCACATCTTCCAAAAATATGCACATGCATACAAAATTCTGGCTGTACTAGTTTGAGCCACGGAACATTTTAAAAAAGATATTTTAGAACAGATTATTTCTTTGAACCTTTGTCTAAAGTCTAAAACCAATGTAGTTAGATTAAGTTTCAAAAGGTAATAGGAAAGAAGTGTATTATGGCCACACTGAAAATTAACCCTTGAAGTAGGCATCAAAAGGGTAAGCTAGTTCCAAGGGACACCTGTACTGCTGAGAAACCCAACTCAACAGAAATCATCTGCAGAACAGAGAGATGTAACACTAACAAAAAACCCAACAAACCCAAACAAACCAAAAAACCAAGAACAGAAACAGTCATTTGCAACATTATCCCTGCAACTCCCTTTAATGCTTATTGTTGATATCAAACCAAATTTCAAGCTTTTACCCATTTGAAATTATTGATACCCATCATTCCCTTTAATTAAAGGGATAATTATATATATATATTTTATTAAAAAATCAACTCTGTATTCTGTCAATACCAGGTAGGAATTCACAATTTGTGATGTTACTGAAAATCAAGATAAATGTTTCTGGAGTTTTGTTTTGTTTTGTTTCTCCCCTCTACCCAAAAAAGTTATTTACAGACTTAAAAAGCCATGCTGCAGAACTGAGCTCTCTTTAAAATTATGAAGATTTCCTACAATGTATTAAAATAAAAGTAGATTTTTATTATTATAGCACTTGGATTCAGAGCTTGTTATGTCACCTACTTGCAATCCTTGTTTCTTTTAAAATAGCTATAGATGCATTGAGTGTCTCTTCACGCACAGTGACTTGTGTTGTGAACCTGATTCTAGCACCTACTCAAAACAAACTAGTAAGGAAAAAAAAAAAACCAAAACCAAGATTGCAGGAAGTTCTCTGAATATTCCACACAGTCCTGTATTTTCAATAGGCTTCTGAATACGTTGTCATGCAGGGAGACCCACACCAGTCTTGAGAAATCTTCTCTACAAATGAACACTATGCTGATAAGTCTCTACTTGTTGGGTGGTTGTTTCTGTTTTAAATATATAAAGAAATCTTTATAAGATATTCTTTTCCTTTTGTAGCTCTTATTGTATGTAAAAATGTTCCACTCCTTCCCAAGGACTGGGGTTTCCATAGCCAGCATTACAAATAAATAATTTATTACAACTGTTTGTCGCCTTCTTTCTTCAGTCGACTGAAAGAGAAAGAAAACTCATTTTAACAAAACGAAGGTGTCGTGACACTTCAGAGATAACTTGCCTTCCTGCTAACCTCACCCCGGTGCCCTGAACAAAGGTTGCAACAGGACTTGTGAGCTTTCAGTACAAAAATGAGAGCCATTGTACCAGCAGTGATAATGCCGTCTGCTGCGGGAGGAAGCGATGACCTTTTGCTCCTGAAGCGCTCCTTACACGTGAGCAAGAGCACTAGTGCCAGCTCATCACACTTCAGCTTTATCTGCGGTCGCAGATATGACAGTCGCTTGCAGGCAGCCTGGCTGACCCCACGGCCCAAGGCCAGCAGGCAATTTTGGATAGCAGAGGCAAGGACTGACACACCAGGGTGAAGCAGCGCAAGGCAGGCGTTTAGTACGCTGCTTCCTATATATCCTTGCTACCCACAGACACGTGGAATGACCCTTGCTAGGTGCAGTGCTGGTGACTTTTTCTTCTTCACTGCCAAACAGGAAATGAGGTGGTGTCATGTAAGGCAGGCCAAGAAGAGAACCACTCTACTATCAACACCACACATCATTCTGGGGAGAAAGAACTCACATGACTCATCTAGGCATTCTCAGCTGGTAATGCAGGATCCATGTTATTCACGATTTACTGAATCTCTCCCCTCTTCTCATTCAAAAAGCTTTTACCCACCCTCCTCCACTTCTCTCAAAGAAGCCAGAGAGATGTGGAAGCAGCAATCGTATCAAGTACCACACTAAAGACTCCAGTCAGAGGTAATTCTGCAATGTAAGACTCAGCTAGTCTACATCTTGTGCCAATAATTCGGACCTGGCTTCCTATCTGCCCTATCACCTAGGCCCAAATTAGGTCTTAGTACAGCTTCACCATCTTCCAGAACTGCATCAGGTCAGTAACTCAGCACACAGTAAGGAAGGCAGACATTCAGAAGAAAAAAGATGGAACGTGAAGAAAGATGAAGGAAGCTGTACCACCCCTGCATCTCCAAAGCCTTCACAGCACCTCTCACCTGTAATAATCTTCCTGACTTGGTAGATGACCACCATGCATGTGAGGATGCCCGTGCAACCACTGCTGCTCCATTGCCAGTCTTTGCAGCTCTGCTGACTGGGCGTGCATGGCCTGCAGTTGGTGGGCTGCTGACATAGGAGGTGGAATGGCACCAGGCAGATCTCGCGGATAAGGAGTACCTAAGAGAGAGTTGCCCATTTTTAGACATTTGTTTGCTCTGAGGCTGCAGAGAGTTATCCCATGAAGCTGCCTTTTTTTTTTTTTTTATAAAAGACAACCAACCTTTGGCTGTAACCTAAGTTACAGCTCGACTCCACCAACTCCCCTCCCCAAGAAATGCTAAGACCCAGAAGAAAAGATGACAGTTGATATCAAGGGTCAGCCTTTGTAAAGGACCGTACAATGCTCTCACCAAAGACTGGATGTCGGAGCATTTCATGCTCATGAGGTGGCTGCCCTAGCAATGGGTTGGGGATGGTTCCAGGTGGGTAGGGAAAACGTGCCAAATGGGGTCCAGCTGCTAAAGGATCCACCCGCGGGTGAA